AAGTACATCAGGACTGATCAATATTCAAATATATATATATATATATATATATATATATTATATATATATATATATATATATATTTGCAAGGAAAAGTATGTGAGAACCCCTTGGATTATGTGGAGTTTTGCATGAATTGGGCATAAAATGTGCTCTGAATGTCAACGTCACAACAATAGAAGAACACAGTCTGCTGAACATAATACTACACAAACATTAGATGTTGCCATGGTTTAATTGCACATAACAGTGCAGGGAGGAAAAGTATGTGAGGCCCTAGCTTAATGACTTCTCCCAGAGCTAATTGGAGCCAGGAGTGAGCCAACCTTGACTCCAATCAGTGTGATATTGGATGTGTTGCTGACAGCTGTCCTGCCCTTAAAAAACACACACCTGTTTTGGGTTTACTGGTTTCAAGAAGCACTGTCTGATGTGAACCATGCCTCGCAGAAAAGAGCTCTCAGAAGACCTACGATCAAGAATTGTTGACTTGCATGAAGCTGGAAAGGGTTACAAAAGTATCTCCAAAAGCCTTGATGTTCATGTGTCCACGGTAAGACAGACTGTCTACAAATGGAGAAAGTTTAGCACTGTTGCTACTCTCCCTAGGCGTGGTCGTCCTGTAAAAATGACTGCAAGAGCACAGCGCAGAATGCTGCATGAGGTAAAGAAGAATCCCAGAGTGTCAGCTAAAGACCTACAGAAATCTCTGGCACATGCTAACATTTTTTTTGACACATCTACAATAAGGAAAACATTAAACAAGAATGGAGTACAAAAAGAATATTGCAGCACGTTTTGAAGTTTGCAAAAGAGCACCTGGATGTTCCACAGCACTACTGGCAAAATATACTGTGGGACAGATGAAACCAAGATTGAGTTGTTTGGGAAGAACACAAACACTATGTGTGGAGAAAAAAAAGGCACAGCACACCAACATCAAAAAACCTCATCCCCACTGTAAAACATGGCGGAGGGAGCATCATGGTTTGGGGCTGCTTTGCTGCCTCAGGGCCTGGGGACGGATTGTTGTCATTGATGGGAAATGAATTCCAGAGTTTATCAAGACATTTTGCAGGAAAAACGTATGACCATCTGTCCGCCAACTGAAGCTCCGCAGAGGATGGGTGATGCAACAGGACAATGACCAAAAGCATACAAGTAATTCAACAAAACATGGCTGCAACAGCACAGAATACGCCTTCTGGAGTGGCCCAGTCAGAGTCCTGACCTCAACCCGATTGAAATGCCGTGGCATGACTTTAAGAGAGCGATTCACACCAGACATCCCAAGAATATTGCTGCACTGAAACAGTTTTGTGAAGAGGGAGTGGTCCAAAATTACTCTAGATCGTTGTGCAGGTCTGATCTGCAACTACAGGAAAATGTTTGGTTTGAGGTTATTGCTGCCAAAGGAGGGTCAACCAGTTATTAAGTCCAAAGGTTCACATACTTTTTCCTGCCTGCACTGTGAATGTTTACATGTTATGTGCAATTAAAAACCATGGCAAACATCTAATGTTTGTGTAGTAGTATATGTTCAGCAGGCTGTGTTCTTCTATTGTTGTGACTTAGATGATGTTCAGAGCACATTTTATGCCCAATTCATGCAAAAACTCCACGTAATCCCAAGGGGTTCACATACTTTTTTCTTGCAACTGTGTATATATATATATACAGTATATACACACACACACACCATAGTTTGTAGACTCTCTATAGCTTTTACAAAGACTAAATTATATATATTGATTTAGGTTATTGTTTTCAAAAAAAATGTAGCAAACTACAGTTGACTAAATTTATGAATAAAGATTATTTGTTTGCAAAATGTTATCACAGAAACCAAGAAAAAGTAAAGTTTTTTTCAAAACTGTCTGTATTTTTTCATTTATATAGCAGAAAAAAAAACCAGTGGTGATCAAATACCACTAAAGAAAGCTCTATTTGTGTGGAAAAAAAATATATTTCTTTTGGGTACATTGTTACATGACTGAGCAATTGCCAGTTAAAGTAGCAAAGTGCTGAACAGCAAAAAAATGCCCTGGTCATGAAGGGGTGAACCTTTCGGAGGTCAAGTGGTTAAACAGTGTCTACAGAAGGTGAACAATTGGCACTTGCAAATGACTTGTTTTCATTCTTATAACAAAAATTTATGAAATACAGATTTGTCACAGATTTTTACCACCACTTCACATCCACTATATATTAGGTATCATTTATTAGACCATCTGTAGGGAGTATGCAGGTAGAACCTGTTCTTGATTAAAAAAGTTTGTCGATGCCTATGAGTGAGGCAAGAATTTTAAAAAGGAACTGGCTGGCCCAACAAATTTAGCCCAAGTGCTGATCATTTGATGATAAAATTAATCTCCAAGAACCCCAAAATTCAAAGCCTGCAGGCAACACTTGCAATAGTTTGTCAGCATGCACGCATCTACAGTATATACTGATTATCAGAAAGATATTGCACCAATTCAACATGCAAGGGAGGTTTGCTAGGAAAATAATTTTTTTTAGAAATCTTTAATTGGTGCATGTCCTCCTTGACAGTGTCTAGTTTGTTTGACATTCCTTTGCGTATTACCCCTGTGTATGTGTTTGCCTTGATCGTTTGCTGGTATAAGTCTCTGTATGCTCTGACTGTGTGTTTTTGCCTGTCTGCCAGTACTATGTGTGTCATTCTGCCATGATTGTGTGAGTGTGTTTATTTTCCCCAACTGGTTGCATCAGTTGTGTTTTGTATCTGTTAGCCTTAACTGTGTGCGTTTCTGCCACAACTGTGTTATGTGTATGGCTATCTTCCCTATTTGGAGTGTTCTGGTTTCTGTCTGCCCTGGCTATTTGCATGTTTGTGTCATCTAGGACTGTGTGCATGTCTGTCCTGAATGTAATTTTGTGGCTTTTTTGCCTGGCTGTGTGTGTCAGGGATGTGCAGACAGACTATAATAATGGTTATTTTTAAGGTTTAGCTGACTTACTGGCTTTTTTATTTTGTGAAGAATGGTTTATGGTGTCTTTAATTAACATAGATCTCGAATCGTCATTTAGTCTTATAGGAAGTGAGAAGGATTGATTGTTTAAACTGAAGCATATAGTGATCTATCAGTTCAACTTGGTCTGAACCTTTAAAATGAAAGTGGAAATGTGGGCAAAATACTAAATATAAGATGTATTTTTGAGTCAGTTCCTAAATTTATTTGTCCACTTCCTTTAGTCCCCGTTTTAACGTGCTCATTGTAAATCAAAACAGCAGATATGTCATAAGAAGAAATGTTATTCAGGTAGGCTGTTCAGATCTATGGGATGCAATGCAGTTTGAAAAACGAAGCATGTCTTTTTTTTCTATGCAATTGCAAGTAAAGTGATATAAGTAGGGGGTTCAGTGAGCGCTAACTAATACAGCAGCTGATACACTAAAAAGGATAACCATAAAACCTTAAAAATGACAAAACATAACATAAATAGTGCAGCGCTAAAAAATGATATATACATATGATGACCAGTATTTGTAAGGTGGTGCAAATGTTCTTAGATCTTATCAAATTCATTTAATATTTGACCTAAATACTACACTATGGGTACTCCTTTCTGCTCTATATGGAGCACTTAACTCCTCCAGGACCACAAGGTGATTATCCCAGGGCCCAGAGTAACATTCAGCTGATCCCGTTTGGAGCCAGGTCTACTGTAAGGGACCCCCAGATGCGGCACCCCCCATCACGAAGTCATCCGTTCCGAGCTTCTTTCCATCCACAAATGGAGTGACCATTGGTGTATATGACACAAATGCGCAATTAAATTGTGCTTCCGGTGAGTGCGCAATTTACTCATTTTTCTGCATAACGCCGGACTATATTTGTCACGGGGATCTTATCAAACCTTTCTCAATCCATCTGTGGCTTTTTGATCACTAAACTTTCATTGGACTATCATTTTATTGTGCATTTATATTGTGCGTTTATATGGTGAAGTGAAGGCGTGTGGGGTATACGCCATTACTGCATCTTTGTTGGGAAGGTCATACACATCGCATGTGGCCTATACTATTTGATAAGATCTAAGGAACTTTGCATCACCTTACAATACTGGTGCAGTCATATGTATATATCATTTTTTAGCGCTGCAAGTAAAGTGATGCCCAGTAAGAATAATGGAAGTGCATGTAAATGTTTTGCAACTGATGTTTACGAAACAATAATTGTAACAAATAAGTGCCACGCTTCACAGACGTGTTACTTATTTTTACTTTTATCATTATAGCACAGTAATATAAGAATGTGAATTGTGGGTGATTCACAATAAGCTTTATTCGAACCATAGCAGCTCTCAAGGGCATTATTTATATACTGAAAAAAACCCTAAAAAAAGGACCAGAGCATAAAAGGGCGAGTATGATGTTTATTCTGCATAAAATTACACTTCAGTGTTGTCACCCTGTAGACAGGGTAATCTCAGATGGGCCTAGGGCTGGTTCACATCTTGAATTGCACAGGAACTTGTGCGTTCTTGTGCAAATCATGTGACCTGGGTGCAATGCAGTATCTATCTATTCGGTACAACCTCCTGTTTATTATTAAAAAAAATGGGTAATAGATCACATTTGTATGTCCCCAAATTCACTTAAGTGTATTTTTTACTTAAATTTTGCACTTGATAATATTGCATTAAAAATTGGCACTATATATAAATATATTTTTTGGGTGTTTTAGCTAATCTTTAGGGCAAAAATGAGAATTTTACCATGTGGGCAAAATAATCAATGGGAAAAAAAACTGTTACATGGGGACACAGAAAAACAAAAACTGTTTTTATTAGTGCTAGTAAAGGACATGGTGTATATAATGTATTTTTTTTTATTTTGCCTATAATTCCTCTTTAAAGTTTTCCTAATTTTGTGTTTTTTAGAGCCTCACTGTTCTTATATACCATTCTAAACATTTATGTAAATTCAGTTGATTTACCTTTTACTTTTTTTTATGCAAACTTCTTTCCAATAGCATGTCAGTTACATGGGAGCAGACATAAGTGACTCACAGTTGACACATGCACTTGCCAATATGAAGAAGGCAGGAATATCAGATTCTGTGGCGCTCTTAAAAGGATCTGTGTTAAGTAAGTAAGACCCTTAAATTTTTTTTTTTTTTTGAGGTTTAAAGAATGCTGCTAACTGTACACACCATGCCCACACATGAATCTCACAGGAATGTGCTGTCCCTTCCTGTGCGGTGTAATTTCAGTTTATTTTGAATGGGCTGAAACTGCGCCGCTCTAAAATTAGGGCTTGCCCTACTTTTTAAAACACACTACAATTTGATCACATGATACAAAAATATAATTCGATCCGATGGGAGCAAACGCACTGGGTTTGCGACCTGCATTTGAGGTGGTGTTAACTTTCAATTGACATCCGCTGCAGAACGCAAATGTAGTTCATTTTGCATGCGGTCTGAAATTCACTTGGTCACTTACCTGATAAAGGGGCTCTGCACAGCTCTGAAACATTGCCTCTGTAAATATGCTGTGACTTCTGAATAAAGCTTTGACTATTTTAAAGAATCCTTGGTGTGCCGGTAACATATTTTTCAGCTTTGCATGCAGTCTGAATTGTACTGGAATGCACAGTGTGTTATTGTGCAATTCATGTGTGGGCATAGTGTGAACCTGCCCTTAGATCAGTGATTTTAAGTAGTAAGATTCCCGTGTCATTTTAAAACACTTTTTAAACCAGAGCTAAACCCTTGTATCCTTTTTAACCAAGGAAGCCATCTTAGCCTCTGTTTGATCTGCAGTTGCATTATGATGCACATGTGATCAGCTATGACACCAGCTATTTGATATTTTGACAGGTTGGTTAAACTGCAAATGTGACAGCATTCCTGGCATGTCAGTAATGTAACTGTCTTTTGAAACTGTTAAGTTGATGGGTTTAGTTTTGCTTTAAGGGTAATAATGTATACAATGTTTGGTCTTCCAATATCTTTAGCTGCTATTCTCCAACATCTGTTGAACCACTTGTATGCCTTTTTGGAGATCTGTATTAATGTAGAGACTATGGTACTTCTGAGTTGGAAAAAGTATTAATCATACATATACCTGTATAAATCATATTTTGGTTCAAGAGGTAGAATTCTCAGTGAATTTTAATATTGGCATTTTTAGTGAGCATTCTAAATATAATGAATTTATGAAAGGGCTTATACATCTCTGTTAAATGGTACTGATAATGTCCTTGGTGAATATGTAGTCGATATTTGAATATAGTAATAACAAATATTGGCAGCGCTCGCTCTGATTATATTGCAATATATACCACAATCTAATGTAATCATTCAAGGTGATACAGTGACAAGTTCTCAAAAAAACAAAGTAACGAGTGTTTTTATAAACATCAACAATCAACATTTCATCTAGTGCTCAAAAACACAAAGTGCCAAGTGCTGTGTAAACATCAATGAGCAACATATCCTCAATATGTTTATATACAGGTGAAACTCGAAAAATTAGAATATCGTGCAAAAGTTCATTTATTTCAGTAATGCAACTTAAAAGGTGAAACGAATATATGAGATAGATTCATTACATGCAAAGCAAGATAGATAGTTCAAGCCGTGATTTGTCATAATTTTGATGATTATGGCTTACAGCTCATGAAAACCCCAAATCCACAATCTCAGAAAATTAGAATATTGTGAAAAAGTGCAATATTCTAGGCTCAAAGTGTCCCACTCTAATCAGCTAATTAAGCCATAACACCTGCAAAGGGTTCCTGAGCCTTTAAATGGTCTCTCAGTCTGGTTCAGTAGGAATCACAATCATGGGAAAGACTGCTGACCTGACAGTTGTACAGAAAACCATCATTGACACCCTCCATAAGGAGGGAAAGCCTCAAAAGGTAATTGCAAAAGAAGTTGGATGTTCCCAAAGTGCTGTATCAAAGCACATCAATAGAAAGTTGTGGAAGGGAAAAGTGTTGAAGAAAAAGGTGCACAAAGCAGCAGGGATGACTGCAGCCTGGAGAGGATTGTCAGGAAAACGCCATTCAAAAGTGTTGGGGACTTTCACAAGGAGTGGACTGAGGCTGGAGTCAGTGCATCAAGAGCCACCACACACAGACGGATCCTGGACATGAGCTTCAAATGTCGTATTCCTCTTGTCAAGCCGCTCCTGAACAACAAACAACGTCAGAAGCGTCTTACTTGGGCTAAAGAAAAACAGATCTGGTCTGTTGCTCATTGGTCCAAAGTCCTCTTTTCTGATGAGAGCAACTTTTGCATCTCATTTTGAAACCAATGACCCAGAGTATGGAGGAAGAATGGAGAGGCGCACACTGCAAGATGCTTGAAGTCCAGTGTGAAGTTTCCACAGTCTGTGTTGATTTGGGGAGCCATGTGATCTGCTGGTGTTGGTCCACTGTGCTTCATTAAGTCCAGGGTCAACGCAGCCGTCTACCAGGAGATTTTGGAGTACTTCATGCTTCTTTCCGCAGAAGAGCTTTATGGGGATGCTGACTTCATTTTCCATCAGGACTTGGCACCTGCCCACGCTGCCAAAAGCACCAAAACATGGTTCAATGACCGTGGGATTACTGTGCTTGATTGGCCAGCAAACTCACCTGACCTGAACCCCATAGAGAATCTATGGGGCATTGCCAAGAGAAAGATGAGAGACATGAGACCGAACAATGCAGAAGAGCTGAAGGCCGCTATTGAAGCATCCTGGTCTTTCATAACACCTCAGCAGTGCCACAGGCTGATAGCTTCCATGCCACACCACATTGAGGCAGTAAGGGGCCCAAACCAAGTACTGAGTACATATGCATGCTTATACTTTTCAGAGGTCCGATATTGTTCTATGTACAATCCTTGTTTTATTGATTGCATGTAATATTCTAATTTTCTGAGATTGTGGATTTGGGGTTTTCATGAGCTGTAAGCCATAATCATCACAATTATGACAAATCATGGCTTGAACTATCTTGCTTTGCATGTAATGAGTCTATCTCATATATTACTTTCACTTTTAAGTTGAATTACTGGAATAAATGATCTTTTGCACGATATTCTAATTTTTTCGAGTTTCACCTGTAATGTGGTGTTCTTATCGGACCAAAAATTTGAAAAATATAGGAAAAAAAAAAAAAAAAAGTATCTAGTTCTTGTGTTCTTGAAAAAATTATAAATGCATATACAGTTGTGTTCAAAATAATAGCAGTGTGTTGAAAAAAATGAATAAAGCTCAAAATCCTTCTAATAGCTTTTATTTCCATACACACAAATGCATTGGGAACACTACACATTCTATTCCAAATCAAAACATGAAGAAAAATATATCAAATTTGTGTTGTTCCTCTAAAAAAATTGAAGAAAAGTGAATATTAGCAGTGTTTGTTTATTCTTCTTTACAAACTCAAACATTCACTATATAAACTGAAAAATGTTTGAAGATTTTGCTTTCCTTTGAATCACTTAATAATACTTAGTTGTATAACCACAGTTTCTGAGAACTGCTGTACATCTGTATTGCATGGAGTCAACCAACTTCTGGCACCTGTGAACAGGTAATCCAGCCCAGGATGATTGGACTACATTCTGCAGTTCTTCTCTATTTCTTGATTTTGCCTCAGAAACTGCATTTTGTATGTCACCCCACAAGTTTTCTATTTGATCAAGATCTGGGTATTGGGCTGGCCACTCCATAACTCAATCTTGTTGGTCTGGAACCAAGATGTTGCACATTTACTGGTGTGTTTGGGGTCGTTGTCTTGTTGGAACACCCATTTCAAGGGCATTTCCTCTTCAGCATAAGGCAGCATGACCTCATCAAGTATTCTGATGTATTCAAACTGATTCATGATCCCTGGTATGCGATAAATAGGCCCAACACCGTAGTATGAGAAACATCCCCATATCATGATGCTTGCGCAACCATGCTTCACTGTCTTCACAGTGTATTGTGGCTTGAATACAGTGTTTGGGGGTCGTCTGACAAACTGTCTCTGGCCACTAGACCCAAAAAGAACAATCTTACTTTCATCAGTCCACAAAATGTTGCGCCATTTCTCTTTAGGCCAGTCAATGTGCTCTTTGGCAAATTGTAACCTCTTCAGCACATGTCTTTTTTTCAACAGTGGGACTTTGCGGGGGCTTCTTGCTGATAGCTTGGCTTCACATAGGCATCTTCTAATTGTAACAGTACTCACAGGTAACTTTAGACCTTCTTTGATCTTCCTGGAGCTGATTGTTGGCTGAGTCCTTGCCATTTTGGCTACTCTTCTATCCATTCGAATGGTAGTTTTTCGCTTTCTTCCACGTCTTTCAGGTTTTGGTTGCCATTTTAAAGCATTTGCGATCATTTTAGCTGAGCAGCCTATCATTTTCTGCAGTTCTTTATATGTTTTCCCCTCTCCAATCAATTTTTTAATCAAGGTACGCTGTTCTTCTGAACAATGTCTGAACGACCCATTTTCCTCAGAATTTCAGAGAGAAATGCACTGTAACCAGCATGTACAACATTTGCTGCCTTCCTTCCTTAAATAAGGGCAATAATTGCCACCTGTTTTTCAAAGAATGAATGACCTCACTAATTAGAACTCCACACTGCTATTATTTTGAACATGCCCCTTTCAATTAGTGATTCAATTACACAGAATCAGCAGCATGCATGTCATGGCTGTTGGGTCTGTTGGATTTCTATTGCTCTACTACACCTGCTAGTAAATTATTTGCCATGTAGAAATATTATTTCTACCAAAAACAGTGATTGATCAGGTTAGTGATGTCTGACTGCTATTATTTTGAACACAACTGTAAATCAATAAATAAATGTCCTGAAAACAAATGTGAAAAAAAAAAATCATTTGAGATTTGTATCACATTTCTTGTGTGTGTGCTTGGTCCAATCCACTACTTTAAACGATTGCCACCAACATTTGCCCCAAACTGACTCACCAGATATAGTGGCTGGTATATGGAAAAACCAGCATACTCACAGAAATCCACACTATTTCTGTAGTTACTCAAATATTGTATGTGGACCACAGACCAAAGTTGTTGTTCAGAAGTATCTGATGCACCAATATATGTCAAGAGAGGGAAGAACTGAAGCGATCCTCA